AAAGGCACTAGTAAGCAGGAGGTTCTGATTTCAGTGACACCCAGCCTGGTGCATTAACGTATTTCCACCACCGCTAGCATACAGCCTTCTGGGGAGCCCCAATAGTAGACCCCCTTTGGAAGAAGAAATTGAAGCCTGGAATTATAAGTACTGCTTTAAAGTTTGCTGAGACAACCCAAAAGGAGGCTGTGTCTGTAATATAGTCCTGTTCAGTGGGATCCTGAAGAATTACCAACAAGGTAAATGAAACCAATGGCAAGACCTGTGGCAGTACATTTGGTTTTCCACCTGGTGAGTTTATCTCTCCTAGAACATGAAAGGGAAAAAGATATGAGCTGTACCACTATACGGGCAATGGCTAACTGTCTCACTAAGATACTCAAGAACTTTGAAAGAATTGGATAAAAGAACTAGTGAACAGGAAGTCCTAAAACAAATAAGGTGCTTTTCTAATGATTACAGATTACAAAGATTTTTATGCCCCGTGTGACTATTTACCAAAGGTATTCATAATAGAATAAGTTCTCCATATCAGCAAAGGTAGGCAAAATCAGGTGGAGCAGATGATCCATTCCATGTATTTCATTCAGATTCTTTCCCAAGTGTTTGTTTAGCAGATTCACGAAGGTGGGGAGTGGGTCATGGGTGGAAGTTATACATGGGTTCATCATAGTTAATTGGGTTTGACTTCTCCTAAGTACCCAATGTTGCAGCAACAAAGACTAACACTGAGCCCATGGTATGGCTCATTACTCATTACTCAAGGAAACTGGCCAGGTATGGGTGATAGGTTAGTTATACTGGGTCTTATTCTTCATCTGTGGGTACTAATGTAGTTTTATTGGAATAGAAATCTTTTCTAGATATGAATTTGCCTTTTGGGCTCACAATGTTTTCTATAAATATCACTCTATGTGTATTGAATACAATGTTTTTCTAATAGCATGTTACCATGATAACATATGACCTTGCTTTTGACAAAGGTGCTCAATTTATAGCAAAAAGAAGTGAACTACTGAGTTTCATGTAGGAATCACTAAGATAACAACATAACTCAAATCTCTCAGAAGCAACTGACCTGAAAGAATGGAGGGATAACCTATTGAAAACTAAATGTTAGGTGCTGGCTGGGTAATACCTCCCAGGGCTTAAGTATTGCCATACAAGCTGAAATACACACTCTTACTTAGAAATAAAAATATGCAACATCTTTTTGCTGGCCAGTTTATACAGTGGTTCCAACATATTTGCTTATTTTTCCTCATGTTGGGTTCTACTGATTTACACATTTTAATTCTGAATATATAATCAATTCCTAGACATTGTTTTCCTTCTCTCCCTGTATGTCCGGTTGTTATTTCCTGTGTGCTCTGCAATTGTGAGGATCTGATGGGATAATGAGCATGAAGGCTACACCATTAGTGCAAACCTCTGGGACCTTGAGGGATGGTAACAATGATCTTCTCATTATCATCAAAGCACAGGAATAAGTCTTACCTCCCTCCTCACATAGGTGCCATAGGAGATGTCATAGTATGATCCTTGAGGGATGGTGAGTGTGAAGCCAGGGGAACACCTTTGGGAGGGAAAGTACCTCAAGAGACCTGCTTGAAAGGAGGAGCCTCAGGGTTTAATGGGCCATGACTCAACCTGAAACTGCTACACCCACAAGGTGTGTCCTGGAGAAATTCCAGATACCCCAGTGTGGACCAGTCTCAACAGGTGAGTGATGCTGGGGATGGAGTTCCCAGAAGAGGCAGAGAAACCTGGATAGAGAAACAGGGACAGGAATCCAGGTGCTACAAATCTGGGTCACAGATCAGAAAGACAAATTAGATGTCCACAGAAGCAAGCACTCAGAATCCAGAATGCTCTGCATGCATGAGCTATGAGAGCTTTGGCCAGAAGTTCTGACAGATCAGGGGAGGGTGATGTTCTCACAGGCAGAATTCAAACCCTCTTGGCCACGGCCTTCCCACAAGAAGACAAAGCTGCATACAGCAGGTAGCAGCAAATTTTGAGCTCTAACAAGCTTTAGGCTCTTTAGGCTTTACTCTCTAAGCATTCTCTCCTGAAAGAAAATCCTGTAAGATCACAGATGAGAGAAATCATGCTCTATGAGAAAAAAGTTATTTATTCAAGGACATCTACTGGAAGTGGAAGAGGAACAGAAATACCGTCCTTTCTAAATCCCAAGTTCTCTTAACCACTATTGTCCCTGAGGCATAATGAAGCTAAAGTACTTGGCCTGCTGAAGGAGCTCACTAAGAGCCTTCTCTCTCCCTTCAGCATCCAACTCTGAACCTCTCATTCTGCCAAAAGCATGCAGAAAATAGTTTGCTGAATTGTAAACCCTTCATACATTTTCCCTCAATCTTCTCACCATAAAAAGGGTATAGGGGTTCAGGCTCAGTGTCTAAAAGTCACAGACAAGGTGTAGCAGTGTTAGCCTAAGATCCAGCAATCTTGTTTGCCAGGTAGGTCTCAGTTTTTGAAACCAGATGGTTTCTAGGAGCCTCCTTAGCCTCATCCCTCTGCGGCTGTCGTGTGTGACAAGGGCATGTCCCCCACTTGACTGTTTCTTGGTTCTTTCATTTATTGAAGAGGCATAACCTCTCTCCACAGGGGCTATGGGATGAGGAAAAGATGGGACTCACAGGCCAGGGATTTAGCTCAGTGGCGCAGGTACCTGCGTGGCAAGTGTGAGTTTGTGGGTTCAATCCCTGGTTCAAGATGGGAATCATACAACACAGTTGGGACTTCCCAGAAACTAGATTTTCTGTCCTTTTCTCTCCTTCACTAACACTATACCCAGCTCCTAGACAATCCCTATAGAGATCTATTGGAGCAAATTGTGTGCACTGCAAACAGTGTTACATTGGCTCTAAACTCAAGTCTGCATTATTACTCAGAGGTATATATAATTCAGATGATAACCATCCTAGCCTGTGAAATAAGCATAAAAAGTCCAGCAAATGCTGACTAGTGCTTCAGAATATTGAATATTAAGTTCTTTCAGAAATTAGTTCTGATACTCCTGCTTTGCAGGGGTCCCAAGCCTGGGAGCTTGTTACATAGTGAATGACCACAGGGCTATGAAAAGCCACATGGTGCCCCTCCAACAGGCTCTCAGCATCTGTGTTTCCATGTGGACAAAGGAAGGAGGGCAGATACACCGGTGGCCTCTCAGGACCCCTTTGGTTCTGACCCTCTGAGTGCCTATCCTTCCAGCCGCCATGCCAACTCAGCCTCATAGGGACAGTGGTGCCCAGTGGTCTCTCGGAGCCTGGCAGTCCAGGGCAGTGGGGTTTGCAACCACATGAGAATGAAGAAATGCTGGCCACACATTCTGTTGGGATGGCTTCTGGCTGAGGGATACTCTATCAATTTGGGACAAAGCAAGCTCAGTCTTTTTTGAGTTCTTGGACATTTTTTTCAGGGAGGCATTTTTACATGCAGATACCAATTTTAGTATCTACCATAGAAAGACCCAGATAAAAATGTGAAATTTAGTTTTACCTGATACTATCAAGGGAAAAGGAAAATGGGAAACAGACACATTTGTCCTAGTCTTTTCCCCTTGAAAATGTGAACTTTCGGATTCTGCAGGAAAGATATGTACAAGAAAAGAGCTCATCCTGGGAATGGAAGAACTGACACAGCCTTTCTGGCGGTGCTGCTAGCCAGTTGTGGCCCTTAGGAAACACCCTGCCCTTTCCCGTCTAGAGACAGTGTTTGTTTGTTGGTTGGTTTGTTTAATTGATTGATTTTATGTTGCTGGTTTTATGCATGATTTTTCTAGAAGAATGGAAAATTAAAAGTGCTTCTAAGGAAAATAAGGGGAAACTGCTCATGCAATCATCGGAATTAAGGAAGCCATAATGCCAGTGATATCACAGACTTGCTCTGATGGTCATATAGTCCAAAGGACAAGCCTAAAATGCACAAGGAATTAGTACTGTGCTTTCCTTCAGCTCAAAAACCCCAAGCTGTGGGTTGAAATACTTCTGATTCCTCCAGGGGAAGTTCTTTTGCTTTGGAGCTGATCTCTCGTTTACCTCACCAACAATGTTTCCAAAGCCCTTCCCAAAACACCAGGACACCTGACCTGGAGACAAAGGCACAAAGAATGGGCAGCAGTGGTCACACAGAGGTGGATGCTGAGCTGCAGGAGCACCACGGAGGATACTGAACTGAATCGCATAGACACTGACTGTGTTGGATTCGCTGCGGCTGCAGAATCATGAGAAGAGGCCATTAATGGGATCCCTGTCAGGAATGATTCTTCCTGCCAAGAACATTTTCAATGTCACTCCCTTGACTGTAATGATGACAAACAGCACCACATGCGGAGGCAGGATACGGAGTATTCAACTTGGATGGAGACAGCAGAAGCATTGCACCAAATAAATGAGAGAAAGGAGCGAGTCCCTGATTAATGATTAGAGAGGGAAGGCGGCGTGTTGTAGTAAGCCTTGGAGAAATCAGCCCTCCCTAGCTTCATGGTGACAAAGATGATACTTTTTTTTAAACTTCAGCATATTTAAAAGAGAAAGAAAAGTAAAGATCTGGTATCTCCAAAAGGATCATGCAGCACATGGAAAGAAGAGCTCACTGAACTTCCTCTCTAGTGCTTAATAAAAGTTCGATTAAATAATTACGTGAATTCATTTCTTACTGTCTTTTTTTTAACCATTAAAACTTCAGCCTCACAGGGTTAGAAACCTTTTTCATCTTATTCATCTTGTCTACTCTATATTCAACAAATAACCCATGGTTTTTATATTGTAGGTTGTTTCCTTACAATTGATTTAAAAAGGAAATGATGAATTTGGGAGTCGGACAGATCCTGTTTCTGTCCTTTAGAATTGCTTGTAAAGTAACATGGTTGTATGAACGATGCAGTGTGACTGTCATTCCAAACTCTGGTTGTTCTGTTTCAGATGAGCCTGCTTTCCAGACATTCTACTAACCTCCTGAACGTTTAGTTTTAACCCGCCATGGAGACCACAACACATAATGGATCAGAAGAATCCCCAACCACCTTCTACCTTACAGGAATCCCCTCTCTGCCAACATACCTTTTCCTTCCTATCTTCTTCATCTTTCTCCTTCTTTATCTGCTCATCTTTGTGGGTAACACCCTGATCCTGGTGGCCGTGGTGGCAGAGCCCAGCCTCCACAAGCCCATGTTCTTCTTCCTAATTAACCTCTCAGCACTGGATATCCTTTTCACCACAACCACTGTCCCCAGGATGCTGTCCCTATTCCTGTTTGGGGACCATCTCCTCAGTTTCCCTGCCTGTTTCCTGCAGATGTACCTCTTCCATAGCTTCTCCTGCTCTGAAGCCTTCATCCTGGTGGTGATGGCTTATGACCGCTTTGTAGCCATCTGCCGCCCACTGCACTACCCAGCCCACATGACCCCACAGACCAATGCAGCATTGGCGGCCAGTGCCTGGCTCACCGCCCTCCTCCTGCCCATCCCAGCAGTGGTACAGACTTCCCAGATGGCATTTGGCAACATCGCCTACATTTACCACTGCTTCTGTGACCACCTGTCTGTTGTCCAGGCCTCCTGCTCTGACACCAGCACCCAGACCCTCATGGGCTTCTGCATTGCCAGGGCGGTATCCTTTTTCCCCCTCTTCCTGGTGCTTCTGTCCTATATTCATATCCTGATCTCAGTACTTCACATCAGCTCCCAGGAAGGACGCTCAAAGGCCTTCTCCACCTGCAGCTCCCACCTCCTGGTGGTGGGCACCTACTACTCATCCATTGCCATAGCCTATGTGGCCTACAGGGCCGCCCTGCCCCTTGACTTCCACATCATGGGCAACGTGGTATATGCTATTCTCACACCTGTGCTCAACCCTATTATCTACACACTGAGGAACAAAGATGTCAAAGCAGCCATCATCAAAATGACATGCCCTAGAAGATAAAGAACTATAGGGATCCCTGATTCAAGTAATTAGCTCTTCTCTCATAAACACTGACAATACTAGAGGGAAATATGGAAAATTCAAGCAGCCAATTAAAACAGTAATTCTCAAAATATAGGTCCAGATGGTATTCCATGGTAATCAAATGATAGAGTTTTCCTTGATTCTTAGGCAAAATGTTTTTGAGCTGTGCATCCTAAATTTCATAAGACTGTGAGGATAATTGAGGTCAGACTACCATTCATTCAAACAATGTTGATTCTCAAAGTTAGTCAAAGAGTGTTTGACTAACAATAAATTTAGTCATTTCTCCTGGATCTATTCTCTCAATACTTCTGAAAATCTCTAGAATTTCTGGAAGGTAGATATGAATCACTCTTGCCCTTTTTGTAGAAATGCTGCATAGAAACACACCACAAAGGAAAAACAGAAAGGCAGTCTTAGCTGCCTGAAAACTCCCTGCCACCACCAATATTTCAATCCTAGCTCCACGGGTGATTTGTCTCTGCTGTTTGGACTTCATTGTGTCTTAAAAACCAAACATACTCCTCCCTCACTTTATGTCTCAGTAAATGTGCCCCTTAAGACAGCTATTTGGACAAAAAGTATTCAATTCTTCTAATTTTCAGCACTCTGTAGTTTCCTTATTCATTACATTGGATAGCAAAGTGGAGAAGTTTCTCCTTACCAGCAATATGAGATCTGATTGAAAAATACAATGAATATTTAAATTTTTAAAAATTGTTTCAGTAAAAAATGCATTGCCATTCATCCACCTCAAAATACTTTTCCTGGCTTTGAATATATTTATCCTGTTATTCTTGCCACCTTCTAAAGCAGTTCTGAAAGTCCTCTTCTGTGAATATCTTTAGTTGCATTGTCATGGCACCTTGATATCTTGGATTAATTTAAAAAGTCCACTTTTCATGGTCATTCTTACTTTGCGGAAGAGCCAAAAGTTGCTTAGTGTCAGATCCAGCAAATAAGTTCGATGAAGACACACTGCAATGGTGTTGTAAGCCTACCTTTCCAACTTTTGTTCACTCAAGAACACTATCAGGAGGGTAAAAAGACACTCACAGAATAGGAAACAATATTTGCCAATCACTTAGTTATTTAATAAGGAATTAATATTCAGAATATATAAAGAACCCCTAGAACTCAACAACAAAAATACAAACAACTCAATTTGAAAATAAGGAAAGGACTCAAATAGAAAAAAAAAAAAACATGCAAATGGGCCAATGAGCGCAAGAACAGATGTTAGAGACATGCAAATCTAAATCATAGGGACTGGGGATTTAGCTCAGTGGCATAAGTGCCTGCCTTGCAAGTGCACAGTCCTGAGTTCGATCCCCAGTACTGATAAAAAAAAAAATCTAACTCATAATGAGATACCACATGACACCATCAGGGTGGCTACTGTTAAAAAACAACAACAGCAACGACAAACAGAATATATGAAGTGCTGGTGAGAAGGTTGAGAAAATGGAACTTTGGGGCACTGTTAATAGAAATATAAAATAATACAGCCATTATGGAAGACAGTGTGACAGTTCCTCAAAAATTAAACAGAATTACCACACTATCCAGCAATTCCACTTCCGAGTATATATCTAGAAGAACAGAAAGAAGGGCCTTGAAGAGATACTTGTTACCAATGCTCATATTCACAATAGTGAAGAGAGCCTAAGTGTTCATCCATAGATGAAGACAAAATATGATATATACATACAATACAATACAATTCAGCCATAAAAAAAATGAAACTCTTATATATGCATATAGATGAACTTTAAAATTCATTTCAAATGAAATAAACCAGACACAAATGGGCAAATATTATATAATTTCACTTCTATGAGGCACCCAGAAAAGTAAAATTCATAGAAACAGAAAGTAAAACTAAGATTACTGGAATCTGAGGGTGGAGATAATGAGAAGTTATTGTTTTATGAGTATAGAGTTTTGTTCAGGATAATGAGAAAGTTCTAGAAATGGTAATGGCTGGACAACATGGTGAATGCTCTCAATGCCACTCAACTTTATACTTTAAAATGGTTAACTGGTACATTTTATGTTATGTATATTTTACCACTTTAAAAAAAATTCTAATGGCCATAGCTCTCAGGTCACCGAGTAGGCCAGGGCTGACTGTCTTTTTATCACATCTTTACTTCTGTACCATGTAGCTGCGGCCAGAGGGAGAGAGATGGAGCTCAGTCATGTCCTTTAACACAGAGACCTAAGAATCAGAGAAAGTTACCGGAGTAGCAGGGATTGGGAAGTAACCAGACAAAGGATACAAAATTTCAGGTAGGCAGGAGGGATACATTCAGAAGACCTACTGTATAATATGGTAGTTATAAAATAACAATGTGTACCATACTTTAAAATGCCAAAGAGGAAAGATTTTAAATGTTCTAATGGCAAAAAAAGGTAATGTATATCTGATTAGCTTAATTTAGTCTTTCCACAATGTATATACATTTCAAAACATCGTGTCATACATGATAAATATATACATATTTCTTTGTCAATTCAATAAACAAAAAGAATCAGTGGATCAGTTTGCCTTTAAAAGCAGACTGGGGACTTCCGGGAGAACATGGCGGACAGATAGCAGCAGCTACGGAGGCTCTCTGTGAGACCCAGCTTAGAATCCAGGAATGGTGCGGAGTGAGGAATCCTAAGCCAGAGGAGATATACCCTGCTGACCCAAGAACGAACTGGGCTGAGAGAAACCAACTGGGAATGCAATCCTGGTGCTATAACGGGAACAGATAAAGCCTCAATGTGGAAGCTGGAGCCTGAGCCATTGGAAGCCACAATTTGGGTTTTCTGCTGCTGCTGCTGCGTCTGAATCGGCTCGGCAAGGAGATAGACGCGTGAAAGCTTTGAGAATGGGAATTGGTGAATGGAGTTCAGAGCGGGATGGGTGGGGAGCCATGCATCGACCTGCGATTAGTGAGGGAAACTGGGACTCTTCCACGGTCTAGGAGGCTCCAACAGAGGACATTCTGGGACCGAGCAGGCTTGCCGGAACAGGGCGCTATAGTGACTTCAGTCACATATCCCCCTATCAAGCGGGATTGGTGAGCAGTGCCTGGCTGAGACCCAGTAGGCTAGCACAACCCAGGTCCCAGCGCCTAGAGGTGCACCCTAGCGGTGAAGCCTTTTGGTAGGTTGACCTGGAGAGGTGGGCCCCACATAGGCTGCCCAGTCCGTAACTCCCTGGTGCTCTGCAGTGGGCGGGAACACCTAGCCAGCGCAATTCAATCAGACTGTGGCTGACAGGGAAGGAAGCTGGGCCTCCTATATACACTTGCATATATAAGGAACAAAGAATATGGGAAGAGGGAGCAACAAGAAAGGGTCCTCGGCCCCCAATCCTGAGAAACAGGCAATAGCAGACACGGCACCAATAGACCTAAAGTGCTATCTCCAGAGCCTCATAGACGAGTTCAGGAATGAAGTTATTAATGACCTGAAGCAAGACATAAGCAGAATAGTTAGAGAAATGCTAAGCACCACCCAAGAAAAAGCAGATGGGGAATGGAAGAACAGAAAAAGAGGGGAGAATTGTTTCATGGAGAAAATAGAGAAAACATAGAATACGTGAAGCAGGTTCAAAGAGATTACCGGGAAATTAAAAACTCTATCGAAAACTGGCATAACAGCTTGAAAGAAACTAAGGATAGATTATCTGAACTGGAGGGCAGACTTGTAATATGGGAGCATGAAATGAAAAACTTCTTAAAAATAACAAAGAAACAAACAGCAATAATACAAAGACTAGAAGATGATAAGAGGATCTATAACTTAAGAAATAAGAACATAAAAGAAGAGGTAGGGACACAAACAAATGAACTACAAAAGCTACTTGCAGAAATAATCCAGGAGAATTTTCCTAATTTAGCAAAAGGTAAAGATACTCAGATGTATGAAGCATACAGGACCCCAGCCACCTACAACCCAAACAGAGCTACACCCAGGCATATAATAATCAAAATACCAGAAATCCAATATAAGAACAGAATATTAAAAGCCATCAGAGACAAGAAACAGATCACTTACAAGGGAACATCCATCAGAATTACTGCAGACTTCTCGGCACAAACCATCAAATCATGAAGAGCATGGAGGAAATAATGCAAGCTTTGAAAGATAATAACTTCCAGCCAACATTGATATATCCTGCATAACTATCCCTGGAAATTGATGGAAAAACAAGATGCTTTCAGGATAAAGAGGAACTAGGGAAATATGCAACCACCAATTCAACTCTACAGAGAATACTTCAGGATATTCTAAAAAAGAAAAATATGAAGAATCCAGAAATAGTGGCAGAGAGGCCACAATGAATGGAGCAGAAAACAAAATGAAGAAGACAAACTGACAACTAATGACAGAAAAAGAGCTCAGCAGAAATGAGGCAGAGAAGATTGGATGATAGGAACAGCTATTTTGGAGAAAATGACGTCATAATAGGCAATGCTGATTTAGCATCATCTTGTTTTGAAGTCCCATCAAGCTTTTGTTCTTCTGTCTCCATAGGTCTTAACATGTTGTATCTTATTGGATTTTATTATATGTGATAGTATAAACAAAAACTTTTATAGACAAGGAGATTATACAGAAACCATTGGTCATTTTTTGTTAGTTGATTCTAAATACCCTGTAATACTGTCATTCTCTTGAATGGTTTTACATTGTTTTGATATATTTGATGCTACAGTATACAAAGTTATACTCAAAGATTTCAAGGAAAGAGACAATATGGTAACTACCTTTATGTCGGGATTATCTTGTGGTGAAACACTATTTTGCTTAAATGGTTATGTTTTGATTTGCGCTATTTTGCTGTTATGCCCTCTTTTATCTCAATTTCCATTTTATTATTTACTTTTTTATTTTTATCCTTTTAATTAAGGGAAAAATAAATAAAAAATAGCAGGATATATTATAGTAACCCACTTTGATTTTCTATTAACTTGATT